CGGGCCTCGGCCCCGGCCCCGACGCGGCCGCCGAGGCCGACCTGCGCCAGCTGCAGGGCGACCTGAAGGAGCTGATCGCGCTGACCGAGGCCAGCCTGGTGTCCGTCAGGAAGAGCAAGCTGCTGGCGGCGCTGGAGCCGGAGCCCGCGGCCCGGGACGATGCCGAGTACCTGGCTTTCCAGAAGGCCATCGCGGAGGCGGCGGAGGCTCCCGCCGCCCCCGGGGCCGACCTGGAGACTGTCCCCGAGGGGGAGGCCAGGCCAGAGCCCACCACCCCTGGGCGGGAAGAGGGGGAGGACCGAGACCCGGAGGAAGAGCTGAGCGGTGCCAAAGTGAACGCGCCCTACTACAGCGCCTGGGGAACCCTGGAGTACCACAACGCCATGGTGGTGGGCGCGGAGGAGGCCGAGGACGGCACCGGCTGCGTGCGCGTTCTCTACCTGTACCCCACCCACAAGTCCCTGAAGCCCTGCCCGTTCTTCCTGGAGGGAAAGTGCCGCTTCAAGGAGAATTGCAGGTAAAGCCCTTGCTGCCCTCATGTCGCCCCCGGGATACGGACACGGGACCGAATCGCCATGGCCCTCTCCCTGTTGGGTCGCCTCGTGCTGCCCCCTCTACCCAGTGGAGTGGCGGGCAAGGTTTTACAGCACTGTTCTCCATCAGGTACTTGCTTCCTTAAAGGGGGCTTTCTTGAGTAGATAAAGAAAACTGGAGGGGTTGATGGTGAGAATACAGCCCCAGGCCCATCATTAGCTTAATTCTTTAGAGTGAAACGTTTAGTTTTTACTTGTGCCAGTATGGCTTGAACTCAGGGCCTGGAGACTGTCCCTTATCTTTTTCTTGTTTTTTTTTTTTTTCTTTTGGTTGGTCATGGGCCTTGAACTGTGGGCTTGGGCGCTGCCCCTGTGCTCTTCAGCTCAAGGTGAGTGCTCTCCCACTTGAGCCACAGCGCTACTTCGGTTTTCTAGTGATTTATTGGAGGTAAGAGTCTCACGGACTTTCCTGCCTGGGCTGACTTTGAACCGTGATCCTCAGATCTCAGCCTCCTGAGTAGCTAGGATTACATGCGAGAGCCACCAGTGCCTAGCTTTGTCCCTTATCTTTTTAACCCAAGGCTGGCACTGTACCATTGGAACTACATTTCTGGCTTTATGCTAGTTAATTGGAAATAGGAGTCTCCTGGACTTTCCTTTTCAGCCTGACTTGGAACCACAATCCTCAGATTTCACCTTCTTCAAGTAGCCAGGATTACATATGGATAGATGAACTTCTTTAGCACCTCAGCCTAAAACAACTCTGCAAAAATAACTAAGACCGGGGCTGGGAAGGTGGCTCAGTGGTAGAGCACTTGCCTTGCATGCATGGGGCCCTGGGTTTGATTCCTCAGCACCACATAAGCAAAAAGAAAAAAAACCCTGAAGTGGCGCTGTGGCTCAAGTGGTAGAGTGCTAGCCTTGAGCTGAAGAGCTGACCCAGGCCCAGAGTTCAGGCCCTACGACCAGACCAAAAAAAAAAAAATAAGACCCTTATGACAAGCAGTTCTTGTTCTGTGGCTCACCCTCTTAAGTGTCACAGTGGGTAAACTTGGCCGTTTTCTTTTTTTGGGGGGGGGGAGTGGGGCCTGAACTCTGGGCCTGGGCGCTGTCCCTCAGCTCTTCAGCTCAAGGCTAGCGCTTTACCACTTGAGCCACAGCCCCACTGCTAGCTAATTTGGTGGTTAACTGGAGTCTCGTAGACCATTCTGCCCAGGCTGGCTTCAAACTACAATCCTCAAATCTCAGCCTTCTGAGAAGCTAGAATGACAGGCGTGAGCCACAGTGCCTGGGAAAGTGGGACACATTCTTTTATCCTCAGTGGAATGGGACTTTGCAGCCCTAATCTCTGTGCTTGGAGAGCACACTCTCACTGCTAGTGGTGCCATTGGGTCATTAGCGTGCCCTGGGCACCTAAGACAGTGAGGTGTGAGAAGGAACTCTGCGGAATGCCGGCCTGGGGGGAGGCAGAGACTCTGGTGGGAGTTCCCCAAGCCTTCCCCGCTGTGTCTCCCTCTCCCCCACTTGCCGATTCTTTCCTTGTAAGACAGCCCTGGCTGTGTCATGCAGCGAATGCTAGCCCTCAGCTCCTCTTGCAGAGTTAAGATAGTTTCCTGTCTGAAATAATGGTGTATAGTGCTGGTTGGTGGTTAGTTTTTTATGTCTTTATTTGGTGAAGTTAACAGTCCCAGTCTTGTGTCTGTCCCCATGTTTCCTCTTCATTCAGGCTTGGTTTTGGTTTTAAATTTACTGTTGCACTGATGTCTAAAAGTCACAGCACCAGTGTAATAACTGGGGTCTTCTAGTTTTTATTTTGTATTTTCAGACATACTCTAACGTATTTGTGAGGTTATATATCATAACCCAGGTTAGCCTCAAACTCCTGGTTTTCCTGCTTCAGCCTCCTAAGTAGTAGGATTACAGGTGTTTGCCAGCACACCCAGCTTTCCTAGTGTGTGGGGGGGGGTTGGGGGGGTTGGTGTGGTCAGTGATAGGACTTGAACTCAGGACCTGGGCACTGTCCCTGAGCTCTTTTGCTCAAGTCTAGTTATACCACTTTGAGCTATAGCTCTACTTCTGGTTTTCTGGTGGTTAATTGGAGATAGGAGTCTCATGGACTTTGCTCCCCAAGGGTGGCCTCAAACTGTGATCTTCAGATCTCAGCCTCCTGAGTAGCTAGGATTACAGGCCTGAGCCACCAGCACCCGGCTTCTTCAGTTGTTTTGAGGAGGAATTAGTATGTGTACACCTACCTCCATCCTCCAATGTATCTGTTGGTGTCTGAGACCTAACATTTGAAGAGGCCGCAGAAAGCTCTTAGACAAAGTAGCTGCTGTTCATGATAGCCTAGCACATGGTGAAAGAGAAGCCAAGTGTGTGCACATGTATGTGTGTTAGAGTATGCATTGTTTAGCATGTGTATAAGTGTGCATTTAGTGCACATGCATGCTGCACATTTGTTTTGTAAGAGTATGCATATACTTGTGTGTTCTACGTGTGTTTGCATGCAGTGTATAAGAATGTGTGCATATGCACAAGTTTGCATGTTTGTGTCTGTGCAGGTGTGTTATATATGGGTATATGTGTGAAACTTTATGCTATGTATGCATGGAAAGTATGTGAGAGTGCTGGGAAGGTGGCTCAGTGGTAGAGCGCTTGCCTCGCGTGCATGAGGCCCTGGGTTCAATTCCCTCAGCACCACATAAGTAGAAAAAGCCGGAAGTGGCGCGGTGGCTCAAGTGGTAGAGCGCTAGCCTTAAGCTTAAGAGGTGAGGGACAGCATCCAGGCCCAGAGTTCAAAAGTATGTGAGAATGTAAATATACCATATATGCACATGTAAGTGAAAGTGTATGCGTGTGTGAGGAGTTCCTGTGTGTGTGTGACAATGAACTTATCTGAGTGTAAGGGAGGAAGTGTGTGTGTGCGTGTCTCCCTCCCTCTGGGCAAGGCTCTGGCGATGGTGGCCATGCTCCTAGAGGGCTGCATCTGAGCTGCCGTCTCCTGCGGCTGTCTGCAGGTTCTCCCATGGACAGGTGGTCTCTGTGGATGAGCTGCGGCCTTTCCAGGACCCAGACTTGAGCTTGCTACAGGTGGGCTCTGCTTGTCTGGCCAAACACCAGGATGGCCTCTGGCACCCAGCACGGATCACAGGTGAGGCTGCCTTCATAGTCTCCCTGATGAGCTTCATATGGCTACTCCTTAGCTCCTCTGGGTTGGGTGCTGGGCTCCCACGTGGGCCTAAGAGGAACAAGTTTGCTCTCAGTCTCAGCCCTCCCCTCTTCCCTCCGTTTCTCCCACAGTCCCACCTGTCAAAGATGTTAACCTAGCCAGGCGCTGGTGGCTCACGCCTATAATCCTAGCTACTCAGGAGGCTGAGATCTGAGGATCGCAGTTCAGAGCCAGCCAGGCTAGAAAGTCTGTGAGATTTTTTTTTTTGGGGGGGGGTCCAGTCATGGGCCTGAACTCTGGGCCTGGGCGCTGTCCCTCAACTATTCAGCTCAAGGCTAGCGCTCTACCACTTGAGCCACAGTGCCACTTCCGGCTTTTTTCTTTTTTGCTTATGTGGTGTTGAGGAATGGAACCCAGGGCCTCAGGCATGCAAGGCAAGCGCTCTACCACTGAGCCACCTTCCCAGCCCCAACTTGGCCATTTTCAAAATCTGATGATATTGTAGCTGAGTCTAGCCATCTACACTCCCCTCCAGGCCCTCTCTGTCCTCACCCTGCTAACATCTGTACCACAGCTCGCATGGGCTATACAGGCACTTGCTCACACTCAGTTCCAGCCTAGCCATCTATACTCCCCTCCAGGCCTTCTCCTCACTCTGCTAACACCTGCACCACAGCTCGCATGGGCTATACAGGCTCTTGCTCACACTCAGTTCCAGCCCCTTCAGCAGGACCAGGCGCTGTTCACTTAGGAGGCATCTTTCGTCAGCTAGGGTGAAAGGGGCACATTCCTCATAATTTGGATTCCCAGTGGTGCAGTTCATAAATACAAGGGAGGATAAATACTATTTGTATCTTGTTTACTTACTTTCCAAGATTATGAATTGATATTCATTCTAGGAAGGTGATGAATTAGTTATTTAAAAGACATAATATTGGGGCTGGGAAGGTGGCTCAGTGGGAGAGCGCTTGCCTTGCATGCTTGAGACCCTGGGTTCGATTCCTCAGCACCACATAATCAGAAAAAGCTGGAAGTGGCGCTGTGACTCAAGTGGTAAAGCACTAGCCTTGAGCTGAAGAGCTGAGAGACATCACTCAGGCCAGAGCTCAGGCCCTATGACTGACCAAAACAAAAAAGAACACCCATAATATTCTGCCAGGCATTGACTTACGCCTGTAATCCTAGCTTACTCAGAAGGCTGAGATAATGAGGATTGCAGTTCGAAGCCAGCTCAGGCAGGCAAGTCTATGAGACTCTTACCTCCAATAAACTGCTCAAAAAAAGTTTAAAGTTGGATCAAATAGTAAAGCACTAGCTTTGAGCAAAAAGCTTAGGGACAGCACTCAGGCCCTGAGTTCAAGCCCTTGGACTGGCACAAAAAAGTATCAGTGGCTCAACCTGCAATCCCAGCTGCTCAGTAGGCTAAAATCTGAGGATTGGCTGTTCAGAGCCAACCTGGACAGGAAAATCCATGATATTCATATCTCCTATTAACTAGCAAAAAGCTGGAAGTGGAGTTGTGGCTCAAGTGCTAGAGCTACAGCCTTGAATGAAAAAGTTAAGGGACGGTTTCCATGCCCTGAATTCCAGCCCTATTACCTGTGTGCCTGCCTATGTCTGTATAATCCCCTACTGGGCAAAGTTGTACATACCTGCAATCCCAATACTTAGGTGGCTAAAGCAAATGGATAACGAATTCATAGCCTTCTGACCCTGGATTATTTACATGTGTTTGATTCCATTACAGTTTCAATCTTTAGAGTCACAGATTGTCCCAGTTATAGCCTGTGGGTAGAATACTCTCAGCAAGTTACTTCCTGCCCAGATCTGTTGTGGAAGTTTTTAGAAGCCTTGGTTTCACTTGATATGAAGGGGCATTTAAGACCCCCCCCATGTGGGTACCACCTTGCCGATTGTCATCAGCCAGTTATCATTTTGGGTCTTTTCAGGAAATATCCGTGGATACAGTGTACTTGTAAGTACACATGCATAACTATTTCATGAGTTCACACAGATATTCCCAGTTCAAGTGAATGGTGACTGTATTTACACTCAATCTCTGCTGGTCCCATGTTTTTCTCTCCCCACCCATTCCTGGTTCATAGGTCTATGAGGTAAGGGCTCCAGCTGTTCTATAACAGCTTGCTTGTTTTATCCACTGTATGTACACGACAGTCTCAGAATAGCAGCATTCATGCCTCTATGTCCAGTTGTGGTGGAGAGTACTGTTAGAAGTGGGGTATTTTGGTTTTGTATTTTTTGTTTCATGGGGCTTACTCAGAGGCCCTGGGTGCTATCCCTGAATTCCTTTGCTCAAGGCTAGCATTTGCCCCTTTGAGCCACAGCTCCACTTCTGACTTTCTGATGGTTAATTGGAGATAAGTCTCCTGGACTTCCCTGCCCCAGCAGCTGGCTTGGAACTGTGATCCTCAGATCTCAGCCTCCTGAGTAGCTAGGATTGCAGGTATGAACCACCACTGCCAGGCTAGAAGTGTTTTTATATAACCCTAATTACCTCTACAATGTTTACCATGACTTGTTGGAGCTTCTTTCAGGATGAGCTCAAGGGAGTAATACCTGGTAATCTGGCTTGTTGAAAGATTTTATGTTGCCAGGCACCAGGCGCTGGTCATTGTCATCCTAGCTACCAAGGAGGCTGAGATCTGAGGATCACCATTCAGTGCCAGCCCAGGCAGGAAAGTCAGACTTTTATCTCCAGGAAACTGCTCAGAAAACCGGAAGTGGCGCTGTAGCTCAAGTGGTAGAGCACTGGCCTTGAGCTGAAGGGCTGAGGGACGGTGCCCAGGCCCAGAGTTCAAGTCCCACGACCAACCAAAAAAAAAAAAAATGTTCACAATATTTGAAGGTCAGTTTTGTTTTCTGGCCCCAAAGGTTAGTTTTATTGGGTATAAAAAATTGCCTCACATTTTTCTCTCTATATTAAGTTCAGTGGTTTTACATTTTGCTGTGGGTTAATTCTCAGTTTATACTCTTTCAATAAGTAATTCTAGGGGCTGGGAAGGCGGCTCAGTGGTAGAGTGCTTGCCTTGCATGCATGAGGCCCTGGGTTTGATTCCTCAGCACCACATAAGCAAAAGGCTGGAAGTTGTGCTGTGACTGAAGTGGTAGAGTGCTAGCATTGAGCTGAAGATCTGAGGGACAGCGCCCAGGCCCAAAGTTCAAGTCCCATGACTGACAATAAATAAACAAATCCAAATGTTTTTTATTTAGAAACATTTAAGAACATTTTCTTCCATTGTACTAAGTCATAATGTGTTTTGCATTCCATGTTAATTCACCTATCTTTAAAATCTTTGTTACTTTCTTTTTGGTACTAATGTTTGAATTCAGGGCTTCACACTTGCTTGCTCTGCTGATGCCTTACCACTTAAACCATGTCTCCAGCACTGTTTTTTGCTGATTATTTTTGGAGATGAAGTCTTTGACTCTTCTGCTTTGGCAGTGAGTCACTGGCGCCAGGGTTCACTATTAGGGCAACATGTATATAGCATGTGGCCCATTTTAACCATCTTTAGATAGGCAGTAACAGTGACGTTCATAGTGTTATATACTTTTATCACTACAATTTTTTTGTTTTGTTTTGGTCATGGGGCCTGAACTCTGAGCCTGAGGGCTGTCCCTCACTCAGCTCTTCAGCTCAAGGCTGGCACTCTACCACTTGAGCCACAGCGCCACTTCCAGCTTTTTTTATGAGGTGCTGAGGAATCGAACCCAGGGCCTCATACATGCAAGGCAAGCGCTCTGTCACTGAGCCACCTTCCCAGCCCCTCATCGCTACTATTTTTAGAACGTGTTCATCCCCAATTAGGAACCCTGTGCCCATTAAGAAATAGCTCTCAGGGGCTGGGAAGGTGGCTCAGTGGTAGAGCGCTTGCCTTGCATGCATGAGGCCCTGGGTTTGATTCCTCAGCACCACATAAATGGAAAAAGCCAGAAGTGGCGCTGTGGCTCAAGTGGTAGAGCGCTAGCCTTGAGCTCAAGAGCTGAAGGTCAGAGCCTAGGTCCAGAGTTCAGGCCCCACAACTAGCAAAAAAAAAGAAAAAGAAAGAAAAAAAGAAATAGCTCTCAGTACCTCTGTCTCCCAAACCTTGAGAGCATCAACTTTGTCTCTGAACTCACTGAGCTCTAGAGTATATGAATTAAGCAACCCTGTTCCAAAAATCTGAAACTTCCTGAGCCTTGACATGGTGCCACAAGTGGGAGATTCTAACCAGACCTCATGTGACCGGTCTCATGAGGCCACCCTAAAAGCAGTGTAAAAGGTTCTTGAGGCTGTGGGTATAAACTTTTTATGTCTCATGATATATATGAAAATATTCCCCCCAACTCTGAAATCTGAAATGCTGATATCAAGTTTTTCAGAAAAAGAACACTGAAATTATGCCAAATTTTAAGTCTTCAGAAATTTCCAAAGATTCATAGCAATTTGGCCAATTACTCTATGTATGTTGAAAGGGATATTTCTGGGACACTTTTTTTTTGGTCAGTTGTAGGGCTTAAACTCAGAGCCTGGGTACTGTCCCTGAGCCTTAAGGCTAGGGCACTACTGCTTGAACCACAGTGCCACTTCCAGCTTTTGAGTGGTTAATTGGAGATAAGAGTCTCACAGGGGGCTGGGAAGGTGGCTCAGCGGTAGAGCGCTTGCCTTGCATGCATGAGGCCCTGGGTTCGATTCCTCAGTACCACATAAGCAAAAAGACAAAAAAGCCGGAAGTGGCGCTGTGGCTCAAGTGGTGGAGCGCTAGCCTTGAGCTGAAGAGCTGAGGGACAGTGCTCAGGCCCAGAGT